ACCTAGGCTTTTATTATATAGGATATATATGTATATATATACATATATATATATATACACACACACATATATATATGAACTCATATATGTAGGCATATATTTTATGCGTACATATATGTGCATTCATATACATATCAATATATATAAAAGGCTAAGCAACTGGCCCACTGGCTGACCACCGACTGGCCACTAGGTATGATGTGCGCTGACCAACAGGGGGCAGAAGCTCAATGCAGGAGCTGCTGAGAGACAGCAACTTTGCAAAGTGCCCTCTTGCACTCCAGGACCCCTCAGGAGATGTTAGAAAGCTGGTTTCAGCCAGATCCCCCCAGGCCAGGCCAAGGAACCCTCCCTGCCGAAGGGACCCCACTCATTCCTCAGACTCCCTTTGAGCTGTGTCACTGCCCCAGGTGTGGCAGCTGGGGAGGGACTGCAGGAGGTTGGCTCCAGGGCATGTCCAGCCTGTTTTGCCCAGTCCCGCCCCACCGGCCCCCTTCTAATTAATTTCCTTTCAATGTGCATGAACCCATGCACTGGGCCACTAGTATTTATATAAAACAACTAATTTTATTTTCTAGTGAAATACATATATATTTTAATGTATATATACAGTATTGTTAGAAAATATATCTATGAAAATGAAATTAGTTTACATATTCTATACTAAATTTACTTAAAACCATTATGAGATAGATATTGATTTTATACAAGAAGTAGCAGAAACAGAGAGTACCTAAGTAACTGAGCCAAAAGTGGTGAAGCTGGGCCTTAAATCCAGTCAGACATATCGAAAATCTGTAAACTTAAACTATTATGCTGTATTCATCCATAGAGACATTTTTAGTCAGATTAGTTACTAATGAATTTTAAAATGTGTATTAAGCATCTAATTAACAGGCATTTAAACAAACATCTAATTTATGTATTTCCCATGTTTTGAGGCATATCTTACTAACCAAGCTTAAATTAAAAGAAATTGCCTAATTTCTTATATTGGCTTTCATAAATTTAGCTAAAATTAGTAAGAGAAATAAATTTGATCAAGCACTTTGAATGTGTTTAAAGGAAAGGGACAACACTCCTCTTTTATCTGAAGCCTGTCACTCACAGAAATACATGCCAATAACAGATTCAGCTTTTAATATTTCACTTTTGGTTATGTACTGCTAAGCTCTTAAAATGTGAATTGAAAACCATGGGGTTAATCCAAGCACTGCAATGGTTTCCTCTTCAAACACATGCAAAGCTGCTTTGGTGCTACTTGTTTGACCTCATATAATGTTTGGATGGAACATATACATGGTTTTGTAAATAGCCATTTTAGTCAAATTTTAGGCCCTCATGTCAGCATAATATTTGTGTGGTTTTGCAGCAGTAACTCCAAATAAGCTCCTTAGCCCTCTAACCTCTGGAAAGCAAACTACAACATAATGCACATCAGGCATTATACTTCTCTGTTGCCCATTAAAACACTGGCATATATGAGAAGTTCAGTGAAATTCAGACCAATGTAATCAGAATGAAACTTGAACTTGTGTTTAATGTCACCTAGGTTTTAATCACTTCCCCTAGATTCCCCTACAATTTATCTGAGGCTTTCATTGGTATGTCTGTTATAAATATATACATTGGTCCTTGCATGTCATGATTTAAAAATACTATTGTAAATAGAGACTTGTTAAATGTACCATACATACACCACCAATTTTCAAAGCAGGGAGACAACTTCTCAAGTCAGAAAAGCTCAAATATAAGAATGAGCATGTCACAGCACCTTTGGAAAACATGAGGCAATAAGCTTAGCTGGTGCAATGGGTAGTTGTTAAAAAGTAGTAAATTAGGAGGGAAAAAAAGGAGAACTTGTGTGGAATCAGATTATAAAGCCCTAGAAATTCAATTGAGGTGTTTAATTAGTTAGTTAATTGTAGTAATGCATTGAGTACCTCAGGTACATTACTATGTGCTAATGAATCACATTTGAACAAGATATGATACCTACTCTCAAGGAGCTCTAATTTTATAGGGATAGGATGCCTAAAAACAGTGTAACATAGAGTGATGAGAGCTATACAAGAGACATGTTTAAATGCAATGAGGACCTAAGGGATAGGTTTATTCAATCTTCCTGAGAAAAGGAGAGGAGGGTGATTTGACAAACCATTTCAATTAGTCTAAGTGTTGAAGACCAAGTGATGGTTTATTGGGCATTGCTTGTGGATGGGTCAACAGTTACAAAATCCAGAGGCAGACATATTAAATCAGATAGCACACTGTCAGATAATGCTTTTTTTTTATCCCTTCTTTCTAAACATGAAAATGACAGATAAAAATATTTTTAAATGAACTTTAAGAGAGAAACAAGTTTGTGTTTGACCAGAAAAAATTTGCAGGGGCAACTGTGGACTTCAGCCAATGTCTTCTCGGCTCTGGTACTAGAAACAGACTGATGCAATCTATTGTATCTATTGCAGGATATGTACATAGATTTTTTTGCTCCCTTCTTTCTAAACATGAAAATGACAGATAAAAATATTTTTAAATGAACTTTAAGAGAGAAACAAGTTTGTGTTTGACCAGAAAAAATTTGCAGGGGCAACTGTGGACTTCAGCCAATGTCTTCTCGGCTCTGGTACTAGAAACAGACTGATGCAATCTATTGTATCTATTGCAGGATATGTACATAGTCAGGTGACACACATCATGCTTATTAAATCAAAAGCCAGGATGGGATGCTCTAACATGTAATAGAGGTCTAAAAAGCTGGGACTACTTGTGATGACTTCTTATGTAGACATATATCTGAGATGGTGAGAGAAAAAATACAAAGTTTTATTCACAAAGTTGCAATGAGTAAATAAGTCTTTACATAGTTTTGTCACAGGGTAGTAGCACCCAGTTGTAATTAGCTCTGGTTTGGATGGGGCGGGTGAGAATATTGGAGTACATTTGCAAAACAGCTTTTCTGGAACCAAGGTGTACAGAGATCAAGAGAAAAATAACAAACAATAAAAATGAGCCTACAAAATTAAAATAAAATAAAAATAAAAATGGTCTAAAGCACAGAAGGAAAATTAAAACTAGTAGTTATTCCTTCCCTACAATAGAGTAGATAAACAGGGACAGTGACCTTCCTGACTGAAACAATCATAATCCTGGATAAAAGGTGTGTGAAATGCATATGCACTCACATACATGCATACACACACGCTCTTTTATTTTAATACTAGAGGCCCAATGCATGAAGATTCGTGCAAGAATAGGCCTTCCTTCCCCTAGCTGCCAGCACCAGCTTCCCTCCGGCACCTGGGACCCGGGCCTTCACTCTGGCTGGCACCTTCTGCCTTCACTCTGGCCTGAGCTGACTTCCACCTTCGCTCAGGCCACTCAGCCTTCGCTCCAGCCACTGAACTCCTGTAGCTCCCTCCAGGCACCGCCCCACCCCCGCACCCTCCCTCATAGCGCCTGCATGCATGTGCTGCCCAGAGGCTCGGAGCAGCCAGGGCAGGGCAGAACACCTGCATCATCACCATGACGACGATGCAAGCATCCCGGCCCAGCTGCCACCATCTTTGTTGTGTCAATTTGCATATTCCCTCCTTATTGGCTGTGGGCCCCTCCATCTTTGACATGGAGTGGCGGTTAATTTGCATATTCCATCTTTATTAGATAGAATTTAAATGAATTTATTTGATTTTTAGAGAGAGAGAGAGAGAGAGAGAGAGAGAGACATCAATATGAGAGAGAAACATCCATCTGTGGCACATGCCCTGACCAGGATGGAACCTTATCAGCCTGGGTGTGTGTCCTGACCAGGAATTGAACCCACCACCTTTTGGTGTAGAAGGAGACCACTTCAACTAACTGAGCCACACTCATCAGGGCTATATTTGCTCTTTTTTTAATATGTATATTTTTTTTATTTTTAGAGAGAGGAAGGGAGAGGGATAGAGAGACAGAAACTTCAGTGATTCCTCTCAGGGGCTGCCACCAACTTGTGTAGAAGGAGACCACTTCAACCAACTGAGCCACACTCATCAGGGCTATATTTGCTCTTTTTTTAATATGTATATTTTTTTTATTTTTAGAGAGAGGAAGGGAGAGGGATAGAGAGACAGAAACTTCAGTGATTCCTCTCAGGGGCTGAATCCATGGAGCAGAACCTTCCCTGCTGTGTGCGTGAGGCCTGGGATTCGGTAGAGAAATCGCTGGAACCATCCATGATCTTCGAGGACCCCGGGCTCTGGTCACTCCCTCTTTATCCTGTGCTGGGCCACCTCACTATGGAGGAACAGGACCTCAACCTAGAACTATATTCTGCCCCCTGCGGGTTTCTGAAACAGTTCTGCTCAGTACACAGGCGCAGAGCACAGAGCACATCCAGTCCAGGTGCAACGCTACCCGCCCCTGACCTGAGGCCCCAAACCCAGGAGCCAGAGATGCAGATGTCACCCTTGATCTTTGAGGACCCCAGGCGCTGGACACTCCCTCACTATATGCTGGTCCACCTCTTTTGGGACAGCCAGGATGTCCAAGTGGAACAATATCCTTGTCCTTGCGGGTTTCTGCACCAGGACTACCGGCTACAAAGGCCCAGAGTATAGCACACGTTCAGTCCTAGCACAGAGCTGCCCACTCTACACCCGACACCTAAGACCTAGGAGCCAGAGATGCTTCCAGGAGTTGAGCCTGTCGTCCAGAAGATACTTGGCCTGCAGACTCCCTCTGCCTTTTGCCCCGCAGCAGGAGGGACAACTGGAACCGAGACTTCTGAGGGACCCTTCCAGCAACGCTCTCAGGGGAGACCATTTTCACCCAGAGGCTAGGGCAGCAGACTGAGGTGTGATGGCCAGGAAGACCATGGCTGCCTCCACTGAGACCTTTTATTGAATGATCCTCAGGGACAATTGTTCTTACAATAACACTTCTCAGTTTTAACAGTCATGTAAGAAATTTGCCTTCATAGACATTTGTAAGATTTTATTTTGCTTATCTAATAAATTATGCAAAAATTTTTAAAAAAATAAACATCAATGAGAGAGAAACATTGATCATCTGCCTCTTGAGCGCCCCCTACTGGGGATGAAGCCTGCAACCCAGGCATGTGCCCTGACCAGGAATCTAACCTTGACCTCCTGGTTCATGGGCCAACATTCAACCACTGAGACACACCAGCCCTGCATACACATGCTCTTTTAAAACTAATTTTATTTTATTTTTAATATACATTTTTATTGATTTCAGAGAGGGAGGGAGAGAGACAGAGAGATGGAAACATCAACAATGAAAGAGAATCATTGATTCGTCTCCTATACATTTCCTATTGGGGATCTAGCCGGCAATCTGGGCATGTTCCCAAATGGGGAATCCAACTGTGACCTCCTGGTTTATAGGTCGACACTCAACCACTGAGCCACTATGGCCAGGCTTAAAACTCATTTTAAAGTGACATGGAAATAAGGATATGATGTGCAGAATAAACAGACAAATAAAATAGGAACCCTGGGAAATGTAGGATAACACAGCCAGCCTTTACGTTCTGGATGTCTGCAAAACCTTGCTGAAAGAAAGCACTTGATGACTATACCTGATATGGGGGCAGAAGATGAAGTTTAGGTAACTCCCAAGTTGATGTCCCTCAGATAAAGCTGGGACCCAAAAGGACTCTGTAGAGAGTAAGGGTGAATAAAACATAAACGCATGACAGACAAGAATAAGAATTTGACATTCTTATCTCTGGCACCAGGTGGAAGAGGAAAAAAGTAGTCTCCCCTAGAAATATTTTTTTAAAATATATTTAATTGAAGACAACTTGCATATATTAAAGCTCACAAATCTAAAGTATACAGGTATTTGAATTTTACATTGAACAACAACAGAGATAAGAATACAGAACATTTCCATCACCCTAGAAATAACCTCATGCCCCTTCCCAGTCAATACAGTCCCCATCCTGGGGAAACTATTATTCTGGCTTATAGCATTACTAGAGGCCCGGTGCATGAAATTCGTGCATCGGGGGAGGGGGCGGGTTCCTCAGTCCAGCCTGCACCCTTTCTAATCTGGGGCCCCTGCAGGATCGGGCCTAAACAGGCAATCAGACATCCCTCTCGCAATCCGGAACCGCTGGCTCCTAACCGCTCACCTACCTGCCTGCCTGATCACCCCTAACTGCTCCCCTGCCTGCCTTATCCCCCCTAACTGCCTCTGCCTCAGCCTCTGCCACTGCGGTTTTGTCCAGAAGGACATCTGGAATGACGTCCCGAAAGTCGTTTCGCTGTCTGGTCTAATTAATATATTATGCTTTTATTAGTATAGATAGGTTCATTTTAGTCTTCCTTGAACTTTATGTAAATGAAATCACACAGCATGTTCTATGTGTGTCTGACTTTCTTCATTCCCTGTGATAGGCAGAATAATGGACCTCCAAAGGTATCATCAATCACTTCAGCTAAGGTCAGGTACAAATTTTTTTTAATATATTTTTATTGATTCCAGAGAGGAAGGAAGAGGGAGAGAGAGAGAAACATCCATGATGAGAGAGAATCATGGATCGGCTGCCTCCCGCAAGCCCCCCACTGGGGATCGAGCCCACAACCCAGGCACATGCCCTTGACTGGAATCGAACCTGTGACCTTTCAGTTCTTAAATCTATATTTGAGGAGGATATATATATATATGTATGTATGTATGAACCATTTGACCGATCGCTATGAAGCACACTGACCACTAGGGGGCAGATGCTCAATTCAGGAGCTGCCTCCTGGTTGTCAGTGAGCGCCCACAGTGGGAGCACCACTCAGTTGATCAACGGACACCAGATGCCAGGCTCACAGCTGGTGAGCGCAGCTGTGGTGGCATGAGCCTCTCCTGCCTCTGTGGCAGTGCTTCTGAGTGGCAGCAGCAGCAGAGGCAGTGGGGCCAGGATGAGTGGGAGCAGTGCAGTGCCCAGCCTGGGCTCAGGCTCCTCCCTGGCCGCCTGCCACTTCTCGCAATACGATGTCGGACTGCTGGTTTCGGCCCAATCCCCACAGTCCAACATCCCCCAAGGGGTCCTGGATTGTGAGAGGGCATAGGTTAGGCTGAGGGACCCCCCACCAGTGCACCAATCCATGCACTGGGCCTCTAGTATTCAATAATACCAGATGTCTGTGAATGGAACACGGTGAACATGAATGATATATCAATTCTTTTGATTACTGGCCCATTTTAGTGGCTTTTTCAATAAAAGGCACACATGGTCAGACTTTCAAAAGAACCAGAAATCTAAAAATATGACAATGATTAGTTTCAAGGGTCATAATGGTATGGCTAAAATCAGATAGTAAAATTGGAACAGCCACACTCTAATGTAGCTAGCCTTCCAGTAGCAGCCAAGGGCTACTCCTTAGGTAATGTGGTCTCTCTTACCATCAGTTAAAATTGGTCAATTTTTACCAAAACTAATCCATTAGACATGCAGTGGCCCTGCATTAAAAGCATTGAGTTCTGTAATGTGTGCTCTGTTTATGATGCATTTCCATGTCCAATATAATGATGTATACAGTCAGCAATCTGGACAGGGAAAGATTGAACTGGTCAGTCTCTAAAACTGGCCCTTAACCTGGGCATCTATATGAGTGACCCAGACAGTTCAATCAGCAGCTGCAATTTTTCCTGCCATTCATGGTCCTAAAGAAATATATCTAAAATCTGCTAATCTGTAGTTTTCCAAGTGGAAGACCAAACAGCTAGATCATAGGTAACATGACTAAATATAACAAGGTTCCTTCAGGGAAGTATGGCCAGAACTAGCAGAAGAGCTTGAATTCTGCACACAGAGAAAAGCAAATACATCTAATTTTGGTTCTCCATTACTCGTACTAAGACTGAACAGTTTCAGCTACCAAGAACACACTGTTAAATATCAGCTTAGCTCAACCATCACTGAATAAGGAGTAAGCATTTAGGAGATCTCTGTGAATGAAGGGTCCCATTGAGCCACTGGCTTTGCTTGAGGCAGCAAAGTGTAAAATAAACTTTCCTTCAAATGCATCCTGCAAAGCTGATTTATAGTCTAAAACATAATTTTTTAGTATTATTCACAATATATCCAGATACATTAAATTTAAAACTCTATGGAAAGCTGAGTCTCCGACTTGGCAACAAGAAGATCTAGAACTAAGTGCTTTTCTAGCATTAGTTTCTATCTTTTAGATATGTGCAGGGTCTTTTCCCCACAAACCTGAAACTTAGAATCTCTATCAAATAGATTAGCAACCATTATAACGTTTTCCATTTGATATGCTTAATCCAGGACCAATAGAACTTTGTATCTGTGCTAACATGTAATATTTTGAGGTAACTCCATACTGCTTTCCACAATGGCTGCACCAATCTTCATTCCCACCAACAGTGCACAAGGGTTCCCTTTTCTCAACATTCTCACTAACACTTGTTTGTTGATTTATTGATGATGGCCATTCTGAGAGGTATGAGGTGATAGCTCATTGTGGTTTTCATTTGCATTTCTCTGATAATTAGTGGTGAAATTGAGCATTTTTTATATGTCTATAGGACATCTGTATGTCCTTTTTAGAGAAGTGTCTACTCATATATTTTGCCCATTTTTAATCCCTCTGTTCATTGCAGCATTATTTACAAGAGCAAAGATTTGGAAGTAACCCAAATGCCCATCAGTAGATGTGTGGATACAAAAGTTATGGTACATTTACACAATGGAATTCTACTTAGCTATAAAAAGAGAAAGACATATTTCTTTTGCAACAGCATGGATAGACCTGGAGAGTATTATGCTGAGTAAAATAAGCCATATGAGTTTACTTATATGTGGACTCTAATGAAAAAAATTAACAAACAAAATAGAAATGGACTCACAGATGTCAGAGGGGAGAGGGAGGGTCTGGGAGAAAAAGGTGAAGGGATTATAACAAATAAAACCACTTTCATAGATAGACAACAGTATGGTCATTACCAGAGGGAAATGAGGTTGGGGAGGCAGGAGAGGATAAAGGGGGAATAAATGATAATGGAAGGGGATGTGACTTGGTGGTGAACACACAATATAATGTATAGATGATGTATTATAGAATTATATACCTTAAACCTATATAATTTTATAAACCACTATAACCCCAATAAGTTCAGTTAAAAATAATAAAATGCATGAGGTCCCAGTGTTGAAATACAATGAGCCATTATTAATGATGATCATTCTATTGCTCATATTATTTTTCAAGATGACATGTAACTGTGAGAAAAGAGGACTCAGAATTAAGTTTAATGAGAAGAAAGGACATGTTTACATCTACATCATTGGTTACAGAGAATAGTCAAACAATATATAGATAAATGGATAGATAGATTTCCTTTTCTACAAAAGGAAAGCAGAAGAAATTTATGTGACTAATGAAACAGATTCTATTATCTGGCAACAACATTTTTGTGGTTGAAATGTTAACAATTAACAATAAATATCAGTTATTTGTAGGTTTAATAAATTTGTAAGACTTTACAGAGTACAATAATTGATCATAAAGTTAAGTGTAAATTTCGTACATACACAACTGCTTTTCAGAAGGATCATAAAGTGTACATTATTAGG